TATAACCTTTATATTCACCAACCAACCCCAAAAAGTTTAAAATTTAATAAAGATATAATTACTTATTAAAATCTACTTATTGAGACTTATTAAGGGGTAAGTGTTTCATTGGTTATTCTGAAGATCCTAAGTAGATAAACAACTATGTTAAATCTAAGTATTATATTTGGCATTATAATATGCATATGTTTAATCATCGAGGTGCTAGAAAAGAAATTTACATGTAATTACTTTAAAACCAGTAAAAGAGGCATGTCTTAAAACAATTAAGGTTTCATATTACGTAAGTGGCTAAATTATTATATAAATAGAATGAAGAAAGAATTATATCTTAAAATTTTTAAAAAGTGAAAAATTCAAACTAAGGTTAAGTAAATGAAATCAAGAAAGCACTATTCCACAACTACATTATTATCTAGTAAAGCCCAAAAGGTCAATATGTAGCCACTTGACTGAACATTTGGTTGTTATATATGCAATTTCCCCATTAAATAAGTATTAAAGTTCTAAACTACAAATTAAAAAGGTATGAGATGATAAAAAATCAACTAATTTTCCCTAAATAAAGTGATAAGTTAAGAAAAAGAAAAGTCTAAAGATCACTAGATGAATTGCAGTGAAATTAATGTTCAAAGAGGTTACTTACAACAATTTAAAATTATAAAATGAATATATTGACTAAGAAAAAAAAGGAGGCCTGGATAGTAATGATAAAGAGTAAATAGAGGGAAGCTATATCTATGTGGTGGGAAAATAAGTAGCTACATAATATAAATGGAGAGAAATCAATCCTAACTAAAGGAATGGGGTAGAAAGGTCACCAAATTAATGCCAAGAAAAAAGCCACAATGATAAGTTCAAAAGGTTATAAACTTCTAAAATTATATATAATCATCATATGAATGAACCTTGATAAGGGGAGTTAAATTTATTCCTTAAGGAGAGATGAATCGAATCTTCATTCATATTGTGGGATCCAAAAATTCACGTACTAACCTCTATGTTCCTTCTTTCAATGGGCAATGTTTTAATGTGATTGAGGTTCTAGGATAAATTATCAAAAGGAATATAGGATTTTATTTAAGACACTACCTTATGATTTTCCCCTCATTTTGCAAGGACTTTTACGATCTAGAGTTTGGTTTCACATAGATAAAATCCCTTATGGATAGTTATCCCTCCTAATAATGAGAGAGAACTTTCAATTAAGGCTATTCATTATTTAGACACTGAGTACCTGGTGTATAATAACAACAACTTTAGGGTTTTGAATTTGGAATTTAAAATTTTTGAAGACTTTTAAATTTATCACCATATACTTAAAATGAGTGATGGGGGAATGATGATCAGCTCGATTAATATCATATGGATAAATCAAACTAGGTCACTATGGTCATAGTATACTTAGTTAGAGGAGGTAGGAAACCCAACCTGACTAAAGGATCCTTATCAACAATCATGGGTTACTTCGTATAAGGATTCCTTGTAGATTGGAGATGAATGTTTGTCTAAGATGATATATTTAATTCCACCTTGCCTAATGCAGGGTTTAATGTCCTATTTATTATACCCTATTAATTTTTTATATAATGGCATTATATCAAGATCATAGGATTTTTTACAGGTTTCTTATCATGGATTTTCATGGTTGGGAATACTTTTGCTGGGGCCATGCTGAGCAATGATTGTATCTTTCTTTTGAAGCTTAACCTTTTTATTGTTCTCCTTCCTAAGAATCGGTTGGAGCTGGTTTCTACTGGTTGTGGGGTCTTTGGGTGGTTGTTTTACTGGTATGGTTGTGTTTTTGGCATTTTTGTTGGTGGGTTTCTGCTGAGGTTTTTTGGGAACATTTTTGGGCTGATAGCTGCTTACCTGGGGTTGTTCTACTGGTTTGTCTCTGCTGGTTGTGTTATTCTTTTTGATGGTTTAGAGTTGGTGCTGGTTTATAGGTGTTGGTTCCTTGGCAGGTTTCGGATTGGCTTTACCTGGTGTATTGAGGGAGTGGGGCTCTTTGGTGGGATGGAGCAGCATAAGGTTATGCCTTATGATTCTTGTGATACTCTATATATCCTGAGCTCTATTTTCCCATCCCCTCATTGCCTGAGCTGCTACTCCTCTGGCTTGCAGATTAATGCTTTTGCTCTTCTTGAGATCTCCTTCTTCCTAATTACTTTCTATTGGGTGGTTTCTAGTTTGGTGGCATATTCTTTTTTTTTTTGTTGGCATTGGCTATTTCCACTTTGTTTTTTATACTAGGGCCTGTAACTTGGGTTGGACTTTGGTGGTTCCTATTTGTTGGCTGTCCTTTGGTGGGGATATGACATACTGGTGGTTCTCTTACCTCTTTTTGAGCTTACTAGTTTTTTGGGTATATCTTGTGCTTTGGTTCCTTTTTTGCAAGTTCCTTTATTGTGTAGGTCTGTTCGTTTCTAACTTTTTAAGACAAGGAACTCGTGTTGATCAAAATTTCTTTGCCGCTCTCCTTTTTTGGGTGCCCTTGCTTGTGAACCATAGAATGTACCTAGGTTGTTTTGTATTTCTGAGTAGTAGGGATCTTGAGCTCATAGGTTTTTTTGCTTTTTACCTTATAGCTCTTTCGAGCAGTAGTGAGCTCGAGGTCCCTTTAAGGACCTTGTACATTTTCCTTTTAATCAACACATAGGCACCTTTGAGGGTTTTCCCTAATAAAAGAAATAATATAATGGCATTAGCCATTGGGGAATATATTGACTTTTAGTCATGATTATAATATAGTGGAACTATTGAGCAATATTATCGGTCGGAGATCCTCAATCTTAATCATTTACCTTGTGGATCCATTGGATCAAAGCACTGTCTTTATGGAGTGGTTGGATTAAACGACTGATTAGAATATCACATCATAACCATTTACAATATAGAGCTATTAGACCAAACCATTAGTCTTGTGGAGCCGTTGGACCAAATGATTGATTGGAGGATATCTGTCACATCCATAAAAAAAGCCCAAATTCTGTCTGTACATCACAATAGCGCCAAATTCTAGTTTATATAAGTGAGAGGAGTGCCATGTGGACTTCACTGAGCTCAAAAGTTAGCTTCTCCATAGCACTATAATTATAAATGTTTAGTCCATGATCTGCCTACAAAGCAACATGTTAATTCAATATATAATGGGTACACATAAGCAATTTCTCCAATAGAGAAAACTCTTCAATGTTGCGGCGTTAATTCATTTTATGGATGTCGCGGTGCAAATGTCTCGAACATTGCAGCATAAAAATCTATTGTATATATATATATAATAAATAGAATATTTGTTATGTTAGTAGGGGAGTTTAGTCACTTAGTAAAATTTAAACTTTAGAGTGTCTCTATGAAATTTTCTTAGGAGTGACAACTAAGGGAATTCTGGGAGCACTAAATCCACTTCTTTATGGTATTTGGATAGTATTTGTGGAAAAAATTCAATAAGTTCAAGGAGGAGTATAGAGGTGAACGTTGAACCATCCGATGATATCTTTTCTTATTTACTTTCTTTCTTTCTTATATGTTATTAATGAAAATGATTTTGCTCTAATTGTTCTTCATAGCTAGCTAATTCCTAAAGTTTTGATTTCTATGGTGTAAATTAAATATGGAATACTAATGATTTATTTTAATAATTAAATTAATGAGATGTTTTTAATGTACCAGGTCTTCATTTAATATGCATAGTGTCCATATGTGTAGTTAATATCAGGTGTAATATGTAGCTTAGGAATAGAAACTAGGCACAACCAAGTATGTTGGATTGGTATGAAGTAAGTGTAGGCATAATGCTTATCATCTATCAAATTTATAGAGATGGATTTCTATGAGGGGTGATTAATAGTATATGCTTTACTAACTCTTATATTATTTTCATAGGGTGATAGACTATGGGAGTTTAGAGTAATATTTAGAGTGGAATACGTTAAACCCATTCTTTTGTCTCTTCATGCTTGACTTAGCGATCAATGATTCTTATGCTATAAATAACATCATATTATTAAGAGAATCAGTAGGAAACATATTAACTTTATATTTCTCTAATCCAAAATATTTTATTCATATAAGTGTATCAATTACTTAACTATTGATTTTACTGAAGTAATTGAATATCCACTAAACCTTATTTTTATTGAGTAGGATAATTATTGAAGTTAAAGTAGATAATACTAGTATTTGTAAGTAAATATTCTTCCTCGTGGAATGGATATTTTATACTCTATCACTATATTACTTGATTCTACTTGTATACTTATATATATTAAGTGGGGTCTTTATATATTTTTATATCAAAGAAAACCTATCCATTATTTAGGAATTGATAGAGTCTTAAATCATATACACAAATCATTCGGTTACTCCAACACCCCAATAAGTTTTGGCATCGTTGTCAGGGAGGAATTTGTTTTATTTATAAAATTACTATATTGTTGAATCAACTGCATAATTAGTCCTAATGTATTCTTTTGTTTTAATTTATAGATTGCATATTTTTGATTGCATGCTTACAAGACATAAAGGGAAGGCACATTTAAGTTATGATTCTAAAATTGAGAGAACCCTTTCTAAAAGTAAACCGATAAAAATATTTTAAAATGGTCAATCCTATTGAAAAAATATATCAATATAGTCCTCTTAAGGATTTTGCAAATCCTTTAGTTGATGAAATTCACCAAAGCATAAATAGACTCTCAATTTAAGCAAATAATTTTGAATTAAGTTTTGCAATAATTTAGATGGTACTAAATTCCCAGTTTAAGGGAACTCCCTTTGAAGACCCTAACTTATTTTTAACAAAATTCATAGAAATTTGTGAAACATTTAAGTACAATAGTGTTAGTCATGATGTCATTAGACTTAGATTGTTCTCATGTTTTCTAAGAGATAAGGAAAAAATGTAATTAAATTCTTTATCCCCAAGATCTATTACCATATGAAATGTGTTGACCCACAAATTTCCAGGTATGCATTTCTTACCTTCTAAAACTACCAAGCTTAGAAATGATATTACTTCTTTTACTCAGTTAGAAGAATAATCTATCTATGAGAGTTGGGAGAGATTCAAAGAGATGCTCAGAAAGTGAACTCACCATGCCCTACCTGATTGGTTGATAATTCAAACTTTTTACAATGGATTGGTAGGATCCCTTAGAGCCATAATTGAAGTTGCAGCCAGAGGATTTTTAAAGTCAAAGCCTTCTGAAGATGCATATGAATTAATTGAAGAAATAGAAAAAAAACATTTTTAGTGCAATGTGGATAGGGTGAATCCTAAGAAAGTTCTTGGAGTCTATGAAAATGACTCTTTATCTATTTTGAATGCATAACTTGCAGCAATACTAATGAAATTGAGCATTTTAGGCTTAAGTTTTGATTCATTTTTACATTTGGAAGATAAAAGTTCAATAAAAAAATGATATCCAAGGGATTAAAAATATAATTTTATTAGAATATAAAATAATTTATATTCAAATACATATAATCCAAGTTGGAGGAATCACCGAAATTTTAATTGGTCAGATAATAATGGTGGAAATCAATAGAATTTTAGTCAAAATAACCAAGTCACAAATTGGAATAAACAAGATCAAGCTATTAATAATATAAGACTAGCACATCCTCCTAGATTAAATCAAAACAATAATTATGGAACTGGAAAGACACCCTTAAAAGATGTGGTCATGCATTTGGAAACTCAATTACAAAACCAAGTTGCTTCAATTAAAAATTTGGAAAGTCGATTAAGTCAGCTTTCAATTTCTATGACTAGTAGACACATTGGATCTCTTCCTAGTAACACTGAAGTTAATCCTAAAGAGAATTAAAGATATGCTAATGGGATCCAATTTAAGAATGGAAATCATCCACCTTAGCTAAATGGAAAATCAAGTTAAAGTTTGGCTGAAGACTATAAACTTAGCAATGATTAGATTGCAAACCAACCTTAGGTCAAGTTAGTTATCCAGTATGGCTGAAGATTATAAACTTAATGCTGTTTAGGGAGGGAACCCTATCCTCTATATTAGGTTATTCTTAATATACTTTAGAAAAAACTTTGATAGATAAAAAGGCAGTGTCGTAGTGCGCGCCATACCTTTGAATGCCGTAGTGCCCCGACAAGATTTAATAATTGAAATTTCAAAATTTTCAAACTTTGCTCCCACTAAAATCTATAAAACCAATTAGGAGGAAATTTTGCTTCTAGTTCTTACCTACTCTTGAGTGAATATCATACTTTCTTCTCTTGAAGTATAATCTTATACAAAAATTATAAACGAAAAGATAACCGAGCTAATACAAGAGATTGTAAACAAATGAATGCACAATTTTACTATATTAATATCCAATTATTAAAACTATATTATTCAATTCAACATTTAAAAGATAATGATTAAATCTATAAATTATAATATCAAATTATGTAAATATAACAATGATTGATTAAGTTTAAATTATGGTATTTTTTCTGACTAGAAGTATAACCTTTATTCATTTTTACTAATTCTAGACATTAATGTATTATCCTATATTGTAGTAATTTTTTATCATCACTTTGTTTGGTTAATCACTTAATCAGAATTACAATATTTTATTTGCTTTAGGACAAGAAAGAGTATAAGTTAAGGAGAATTTGAATAAGTGTAAATAATTTTATATTTTATTTGTTAATTTGTTAGTGAAAACATATTATTTTAGTTGCGTTTGTGCAAGAAAATATAGTAATTGAGCAAAATTTTTAAGAATGGCATAACATCATGGCGTTAGACATAATACTGCTACGACTTCATTTTTGACATCACCAGAGTGCCAAAATATGGACATGGAGGTGCCCAATTTCTGTTTGACCATGCCACAACATTGGAGGAGTCAATGCCATAAAGCCCAGCCAACTATCCTAGCACTATAACATCATAGGAGTTAGCACTGCAAAGTCTAGTCTCTGTCTGTACAACAACGAGTTGATAAATTTTAGTACTACCGAATCAGAAGAGAGTCACATGGACTTCACAGGGGTAAACATCAACAATGCTTCATCACTACAGTTGAAATTATTTAGGCCACGATCTACTAGTGAAGTGACGTATCAATTCATTTAATAGTAGGTCCATGTTAGTAAGCACTGCAATGGAGAAAACCCTTTAGTGCTGTGGTGTTAGTTCATTTTATGGGCATCGTAGCTAAGTGTCTCAAGCATCAAGGTGCCATAATGCATTTTATGTATTTTTCTATAAATAATATGTTTGTTATGTTTGTAGGGGAGTTCAGTCACTTAGTAAGATTGAAACTTCAGAGTGTCTCTCTAAAATCTCCTTAAGAGTGACAACTAAGGGAATTTAGGGAGCATTGGATCCACTTCTTTAATGTATTTGGTCAGTGTTTGTGGAAGCAATTCTGTAAGTTTAAGGATGAGTGCAAAGGAGAATGTTGAACCATCTAGTGATATCTATTTTTCTTTGCTATCTTTCTTGTATGTTATTAATGAAAATAAGTTATTCTAATTATTCTTCAAGGTAATTCCCAAAATTTTGAATTGATGGTGTAAATTTAATATGGAATACTAATGATTTATCTCATCTTTAGATTAATGATATGATGTTTTTAATATACCAGGTCTATATTTAATGCACATAGTAGTCATATGTGTAGTTAATATCAAGTGTAATATAGAACCTAAGAATAGGAAAGCACACACAACCAAGTATATTAGATTGGTATGTTACAAATATAGGCATAGTGTTTGTCATCTGTCAAATTTATAGACATGGATTATTATGAGGGGGTGATTAATAATACATGGTTTACATACACCTCTAAGATTTTATAGGGTGATATACTTGTGTTAAGAGTGGAATACATTAAACCCATCCATTGTTCCTTCTACTTCACTTAGCGATCGATGATGCTTATGCTTTGAATTACATCAGATTATTAAGAGAATCAGTAGGAAATATATTAATTTTATATTTCATCAATCCAAAATATTTTATTCATATAAGTGTATTCATTACTTTATTATTAATATTACTGATGTGGTTGAATCTCCACCAAACCTTATTTTTATTGAGTAGGATAATTATCGTAGTTAGAGTAGATAGTACTAGTATTTGTAAGTAAATATTCTTCCTCATGGGATCAATACTCTACTCTATCATTATATTACTTGATTCGACATGCATACTTGCATATATTAAGTAGGCTTTTTATAATATTGTATACTAAAGAAAACCTAAGCATTATTTAGGGATTGATAGAGCCTTAAATCATATTCACAATTTTTTAGGATACTCCACTACTCCCATCAATAAATTTTAATAATATTCTTGACTAGATATTTGCTCTTTATGAGCTAAAGTTATTCCCAAATTTATCCTCCTTACCAAATCATTATGGAGAGTGGATGGGTTTTTTCTTTAAATGTTAGGTGATTTATGTTATATTTACATATTCAAACTTTGGTAAATATCATATTAAAATTTTATTTAAATTTAAGCCCATAAGCGATTAAGTTTATGATTTGGAGGGCATTTAAATGTTAAATACCCCTCTTGTTAGTATTAGCTTTCAATATGACTATCGTTGAGGTTTAATCCTATTAAATATTTTTGGTTTTCAATAAAGGATAGGGCTCAAATTGAGTGTTATAATATTTAACAAAGAGTAACCTCCTTTTAAAATTTACATTCAACATGGTCATTATTGAAGCTTGGTCTTCTAAACTTTATTTATTTATTGACAAAGGATCAGTGTTAATTTGAGTGTTATGACATTTAATAATAGAGTCCCCTTTGGTTGAGATTTAAATTTAACACACCCTTTATTGTGGTTTGATCATGTTAACTCTATCTATTTATTAATAAAGTTTCAATCTTAATTTAAGTTTTGTAGCTATTGACCTCATTTTTGTATGAGGCCGCTGGGACCTGTCAGGGTTTTCCTATGGTGACCAAATGATTGAGGGGTGTCCACTACTAAATCATATTGGTCACATTTAGGACCCAATCAAAGTCTAGTCAAATCCTGTACTGCCCCTCAATTCAATTTCCAAATCAACTTTTAATGAACTTTCAATCAATGTCTAAATATAACCCAATCAATGTCAATCATTTATTTGACTCTCATTAATATGGGTTAAAGAAAAATCAACCACTCAATTCCAAAATTCAACCCAAATCTAAGTTTCCAAACAAAACCTCAAGTTTAAGAACCCATTTCAAGCTAAATCAACCCTTCAAAATCACCTAATTAGACATTCCAAGCAAGTCAAAAAATTTCCAAGTTAAACTCTTCTTAGGTTGGCTTGGTGAACTCATTTGGAGGGGTCAAAGCCCTCTCTAATCTCATGTGTTTGCTCAAAACTTCAAAACATTAGTCTCAAATGCTTGGGCCATATATGGAACCACCCAAATATATTCCCTTAACTGCCACATCACTCCCATTGACTAGTTTGACCAATCAAATGGTCAAATAAACTATCATTCAAGCTTTGGTGGCCATCCCACCTTGTCAATCTAATCCTCATTTTAAAACCTGCTCAAACATGATGTGATGTAGACCAATTTCTCTCTTAAGAGGCCCCCTTAATACCAACTCCCTAAATAAAGCCAAGCATTAGTTCATCCAAGTGGGGGAAAGGTGTGGTCCCCCTCCCAAAACCAATCCCTCTCAACCCACCAACTTTCTTCTGGTTTTGGGCTTCCTTGGGGACACTTATCACCCATCCAAAGCATCCTTAATTAAATCCTAACCATCCAGCATTAATTCAAGGGGTTAAGTGTAGGGAATTTGATCTAATACCAATCATTCCATCTCATTTCATCTAAGTCCCTACACCGAGAGCCTCCAACCTTCCAAGAGCCTTCCCCATCCTCTCTAATCCTCCCCAAGTCCATTCCAAGCCTTTCCCCATCCTTTCTTTCCCTCAAATAACTATTCTAGTGAGGAGAGACCATTCTAGTGAGAGAAAACCTTCTCTCTTTAACAACTTCAAATACAACCGTTAAAATCCTATGAAGTTCAACAAATATATTGAGGACATTAGCAGGAGAAAAAGGATTCCAAGGTCTAAAAATTGCACTAGCTAGATTGTAAGATTTTATC